AAATTCCTGTAGAGGACCATATCACTGGTTTTTCATTTTTCCCCTCTTTCTTCCCAGTTTCCTGACTAATGAGGTCAAACAGTTGTCACCTACTACTTGAGATGCTGTCTTCCTTCAGACAGGCACCACACAACTCTGCGTCTGGTTTGAAAGTCTTATCATCACAAGCTAGAAACTCAAGAGGCATCTGGTGAGATGAATGAATAAACTTTGAGAAAACACATGGGGCATTTAAGCATGCATTTTTGGATTTCAGCTGAGTTTCAGCTGAAACGCAGTAGTTCTGACTGCACTGGCTTTTTTCAACCTGAAGCCAGTGGAGCGATGAACAAACATATATAAATCAGAATTTAGACAGAGTTTCATCGGCTCCAATGAGACAAAACTGTTTTCCCAGCCAGTAAAGAGAAGTTTTGAAGACGTTAGTGTACAGAAGTCACACTTGCAATGCCTGGTGCCAAATGCCAACTTATTTAACATTTTCTTTTAGTCTTTTTTTGAAGTGTGAAGTATTCTAAAGCTCAACTAGCTATTTATCTGATCTTCAAACACAGACAGGTGGTGGTTAGCCAGTAGACCTCTATTTTCCCAAAAGGGCTATTTCACATTTACTAAAAAGAGTCCATCTTTCCTTACACCTGTCACATTTTTTTTTAAAAATATCATTAAGCCATCGGAACAAACCTGAGAAGGTGAAACGCAGCTGTAACCCAGCACTCAAAGCCTGAGCATCTCTGGGCTCAGACATGGAGCTGCAGTTTTAACAGCCTTGGTTTTGTCTCCCCTCCTCCTTCTCCTGCCTGTATCTGTGCATTCTTCCCTTGTATCAATTCCCAGCTGTCTCTTGGATTTTTGTTAAAAACTTGCAAAATACTAGGAATTGAACCAAACCCCTTTTTACAATGACAGGCTTGGACTTGGTGTCCTGACTTGGCTGCAGCCCAAAGGATCTGCTCAAGAAGCTGATGGTGGCACCAGTATGGGAACAAGCGGCGAGCCAGAGAGGAGAAGCACCAACCCACGGTCGGCACACCACGACTGCCAACCGTCAGGGGCATTGGTTAAAAGTCAGTTGTTCCCTGAGCTATTTACTGAAAAGAAATGGCTCAGCTCCCGCTTACGTTATAACTTTGACCTCGTACCTCCTCAACCAATGAAGATGTATAATCCAGCGAGAAGAATCCTTTCCGTTCACATTGTATATTTATAGCCTTTGTCATGAAATTGTTGAGACAGAAGGGTCTTTGGTCTGCTTGGACAAGTGCTTTCTGGCCCTGCTTTCAGCCAGGTTGGAGAAGTGTCTCTGCTTTGGGGATGGGGAAGGCAGCGTGAGAAGCAGCAGACTTTAATTTCAGTGCTGCTGCAATCTGTGTTCCTGCCCTGGCATATCTCCATCTAGCCTCTTCATGCCCCAGGGCTTTCCATTGAGTGATTCAGCTCCCAAACAGCACTCTGCTAGGGCAGGACAGCGTCACAGAACGGTCGGGGTTGGAAGGGACCCCTGGAGATCATCCAGTCCAACCCCCTTCCAAAGCAGGAGTACCTACAGCAGTTGCACAGGATCACATCCAGGTGGGTTTTGAATATCTCCAGAGAAGGAGACTCCTCAACCTCTCTGGGCAGCCTGTTCCAGCACTCTGCCAGCCTTAAAGTAAAGAAGTTCTTCTTCATATTAAGGTGAAACTTTCTCAGTTTCAGTTTGTGCCCGTTGCCCCTTAACTTGTCGCTGGGCACCACTGAAAAGAGTCTGGCCCCAATCTCTTAACACCTGCCCTTAAGGTATTGATAAGCATTGATGAGATCCCCTTCAGGACAGCGCCTCGTGTTTGGCGTCTTTCTCCAGTATTACCCCACACACTGCCCATCGCATTACTCCCTCACCTCTGGGTGACTACTGCTACAGCCTAATGTAGGTTGCAGGATTGAATTACACAGCTTAAGGAGGATGTTCAATGCCCCACAGGCTCGTGGAATTTAGTCAGTTGCAATCCACTTTTTTTGTTTGGGAGAACAAGGCTGCCACAAATACCAAGGGCCAAATCCACTCAGATGCTTTCTGAGTCAAAGCACCCCCTTCCAAAGCAGGAGTACCTACAGCAGTTGCACAGGATCACATCCAGGTGGGTTTTGAATATCTCCAGAGAAGGAGACTCCTCAACCTCTCTGGGCAGCCTGTTCCAGCACTCTGCCAGCCTTAAAGTAAAGAAGTTCTTCTTCATATTAAGGTGAAACTTTCTCAGTTTCAGTTTGTGCCCGTTGCCCCTTAACTTGTCGCTGGGCACCACTGAAAAGAGTCTGGCCCCAATCTCTTAACACCTGCCCTTAAGGTATTGATAAGCATTGATGAGATCCCCTTCAGGACAGCGCCTCGTGTTTGGCGTCTTTCTCCAGTATTACCCCACACACTGCCCATCGCATTACTCCCTCACCTCTGGGTGACTACTGCTACAGCCTAATGTAGGTTGCAGGATTGAATTACACAGCTTAAGGAGGATGTTCAATGCCCCACAGGCTCGTGGAATTTAGTCAGTTGCAATCCACTTTTTTTGTTTGGGAGAACAAGGCTGCCACAAATACCAAGGGCCAAATCCACTCAGATGATTTCTGAGTCAAAGCTTTGGTGATGCTATGGAGGGTAAGATGGCATTTGACCGTGACTTGCCACGTTGCCTCTTCCTCGTGCTGTCTGCGCTGCCATTTCATCTCTGAAATGGGAGCCTGTGCCATACCTGTGTTTATTCGGGCCGCGTGGCTGCGGGCACCCACCTTGCTGTCGGTGAGAGCAGCCCCAACATCCTTCTAACTGCTGCTTAAAACCAGCCACCCCTACGGGGATCAACAGCTGGGCTTCAAAATGGAAAGAGACTTTAAAGACAAAAACATCTGCAGACAGGCTTGCACCGGGAGGCCATGCACTCTGCTGGGACTGGCGGGCACGAACCCTTTATTTTGGGATCAGAAGGCAGGAGGGTCACAGCTTCGTCTGCTCTTGGTTCAGGCTGCTGCCGCGTTGTTCAGTGCGTGCCAGGCGCCAGCGCGCAGACCTCTCCCCGGGGAAGCGAGATTAAACCCTTCCAAGTGAGTTGCCCTTGATGTCACCAGCCCGGAGAAGAAATCGCTGAGTTGACTCGTTTGCCGTAATTATTTTGTTTATTGATGCTTTGTATTTGTACTCCTGTGCTCCAATGTTTGGGTTGCACTTTTTCTAGCTCTAATATCATTCTATTTTTATGTGATATTTAACTAAAGAGATAGAAAAAACAAGTATTGTAAAAATATACACCTGATGTCTATTCACTTGCTGAAATTAATGCATATATCCTGAATGGAGCATTAAAAAAGATAAAATCAAGACAGCATTTTCTCATATGTTTATTTTTGAACTGCGGACTTTCTAGAGTATAATGCCCTAGGAAAAGGTCTTCAGTGGACATTAAATTGTTTGCTACAAAAAATGCAAGACTGTGATTGCATTTATGTATCTTTCTCCTATGTTCTTGAAGCAATAGAGAAAACATTTTGGCTGAATTGATTATCTTTTGTTGTGGAAGCAGGAGCCAAGCTTGCTTGACTTGTGAAATCCAGAGAGGCCAAAGATGTCGACTGGCGCTCTAAAGACGAACAGATTACATGGTATCACATTTACTTGATAGAGTCTTCTAAAAATAATATTAATAAATCATAAAACAACCTGGATCAAAGAGCTTGCAGTAGCTGTTGGGTAAATGCAGACTCTACGGCAGGAATCCCGCTGTCGGAGTTAAGGTTAAATGCTCAAAACACATCCCACAAATTCAAGGGGCACTCGGACATGGCTGACGTTATTGATGTTGATCCCTTCCTGCGGGCTAGCTGTGTGCATTATTTATTTCTGGTTTTATACACGGGGTTGAGTTTAAGTGCTGCGGGATGGATAATGAACTCAATGGTGGTGCCCCCCTGCCTCACCAGGGCCTTGCCAGAAATGGTTCTGACAACACGTGGCAGCCGTGTAAGCCCAGGAGATCACGTACTCTCGCAGGTTTTCCTCTCAATTGCTGAAGATAGCTTTATATAGCTATCCATACGCATGGTCTGGTAAAGCAGCGTTATTTATCTTACATCATTAATGACGGGGAATGATGCGCTACTGTTGGATCAAGGAAAAGTGGTAGGTGTAACTTTTCTATCACATGCACCCCTTTGTCATAAGTGAACAAACTTAGTCATAGTTGTATAGGGGTTTTTATTCCATTTTATAGAAAGGTATAAGAATAATATGTGATATTCAATGTGCCATTTTACTTGTTGCCCTAACGCGGCAGTTTTTGCAGGATTTGTGTCAGATCTCTTCTTGGGTAACTCCATAGCTCACAAATTCCTGCTCAGCGGCACCTAGGTACCGTCAGTGCCAGAGCACACTGACCTTTCCCCGGCACACCTCTGGCTCTGTGTACATGAGATTTAAGCAATGCTCAAGCAGAGATCCTGTGTATATTGACTGAGTGATAAAAAGGGGTGGGTTTTTTTTTCCCTTACCTGAGGTGGTCATGACAGCTGATGGAAGTGGTGAGTTTCCAAGGTCTATAACAAATCAAAGCAAACACTTTTACTCAGGGTGAAAGAGGTGTTTGTTCTGCTTTAGAAAAGTCAGAGAATACATCACAACTGAAAATACATGAACAACTGGGGTTGTTCAGCCTGGAGGAGGCTGAGGGGAGACCTGATCGCCCTCTACAACTACCTGAAAGGAGGTTGTAGCGAGGTGGGGGTTGGTCTCTTCTCCCTGGTAACTAGCGATAGGACAAGAGGAAACGGTCTCAAGTTGTGCCAGGGGAGGTTCAGGTTGGACATTGGAAGAATTTCTTCACTATAAGAGTTGTTAAGCGTTGGAACGGGCTCCGCAGGGAGGTGGTGGAGTCACCATCCCTGGAGGTGTTCAAGAAACATTTAAATATGGCCTTCGAGACATGGTTTAGGGGGCATGCTGGTGTTGGGTAGAAGGTTGGACTTGATGATCCTTGAGGTGTCTTCCAACCATAACGATTCTATGATTCTATGATTTAATTTCCAAATAATCTTTCAATGCACAACTCAGCCAAATGGTCCAGAGAGAAACATGAAGCACCTGAGGTAACTGAGGTAACTGTGCTGTCAAATCCCTAGGGAAACAAAGGTTTGGGGGAAAAAGCTTTTGGAGCCCCTGGCACCTCGACTCAAAAAGCAGAAGCGAGTTCATGGTTTTATCCCATACAAACAGATGCACCTTATTAGGACGTGTGTTGAAATAACGTATATGACCCAGTGGTGGCATTTGCGTAGCTCCACCCATGAGGCACTTCAGAGACTGACAGGAAATTTCAGGGACACTTTGCACTGGAAAGTGCTCAGTAAGTCCTCAAAGAAGTGGAGAGGGAGTTGTTCCTTGTAACTAAAGGACTGTTAACCAGCCAGCCAAGCAAAGCAGACACCATCCTGCCCAAGCATCATTTACATCCCGAGCGAGAGATGTCTCTTTTTTTTTCTCCACCCAGGAGGTGAGGCAAAACCCCCCTTGAGGAGGTTGGGAGGAAGGATTACATCTCCCCGCAGGGCTCCATGAAGGAGGTGATCTATGAAAGCTCACACACTCCATTAGATAAACATATCTGGGAAGGCAGGCACAAGGTACCTCTGTCTGGTCAGGGATGTTGGGAGGGCATTGGGTGGGGAACAACCTCTGCACATAGGATCTTAGCGTAAGGAGGTAACCATCAATTCTCCAGCTGCTTTCCTTTGCAAACATTTGTACCTCCTTTGACTGTTTTGAATGTTGCTCTTCCATTTGCATTTCATCTTAGCCTCGCCTGTGCTAACATGGATTTCGTAGTAGCTGGCTGACCGAAAAGCATTCCTTACCAAAGGTGCAGGAGGTCTGAAAACCAGGGTAGCGGGGCACCTCGAGGTGTGCCCACCTCCCAGCGCGTTTCTGCAGGGCATGCGAGGCAAAGCAGGGTGGTGACCTGACGCAAGCCACAAGGGCTGCTTTGAGACATCACCTTGCGGAGGCCAGCGGAGGACAAAGTCTTCCTTCTCAGGGACCCCCAGTACCTGGGATGGCTTTTTGGTGCCCAGCAGGGTATTGACTGAACCCCCAGGGCCTACACAGCTTACACAGAAAACCACGCTTCTTTTCATGCCGTTTGTCTACGGCGTTTCTCTGACACGCTCACGTAACCCACTGCTGATGTGCAGCTGGCTCCAGTGCAGAGCAGAGCAAGCCGCTCCGAGAGAAGCATCTCCAAAGGGGCTTCAGCTGAGGTGTGGAGGGAACGATTTATCTGTCTACAATAAGCTGGTAGTAAGACAAACTTACAGGGGCAGAGCGCAGATTTACCAAATTTACACAAATTAAGAAACATCCCATCAGTTCTTTAATTAGGCAAAAGTGTTGAGAATCTTGGCTGTGTACTTAAGCAGAAGGTAGAAGCATTAGTAGGGCCGTTATTTTTAATCATCAGTTCAGTGCTGAAAGAGCTATATTCAAATGCCGGCTGAAGCATCAGAAATAACGTTAAGTGCCCCTCAAGGCTGGAGTTTAATTATGCTTGGGCTTAATTATGATAGATTACATTACCAGAATATCTATTTATTGTATTTTCTCTGAAGTCATAGCTGCAGAAAGGGGTACCTTACTACCCATCCAGAAACAAGTTTGCAAAACCATTTCTCCAACAGCTTTAGGAATTTGTAGATGCACATCTGACACAACGCAAATTATTTTGTTCTCTAATTTATCCTACCTTCTGAAGCCATGGTGGTAAAAGCTTCAGATGAGGCTTCATTAGATGTATTGTCTGTGAAGAAAAAAAAAAAAAAAGATGAAAGCAGTTCTTAAAAGTAGTTAGGTTTTTGTTATAAAGGCTGAAAATTTAGTTTAGGGTTTGTGTCATACTGTGCATTAGTATGGCACCTTCACAGAACATAGCCGAGAATTAATTTAATCCTTTCCTTTCTGTCACATCTAAATACATTAACATTTTTATACAGAGTGGATCTTTCTTAGCATTAGCATAGCCTCTAGGCAAGAATGTAGACTGCTTTAATTGACGGCTCTTCAATTTGAATATATTTCTACAAAACTGCAAATTGGATGAAATGAGTCATTTTGGAGAAAAATGATCATTTATCTCCCTTCCCTCCAAAGCTATATTTCCAGAGGAGTAAGCTCTGGCTCTTGATGCAGTCTTTCTTTGTGGAAAAACATACCAATAAGCATCTCCATGGCCACAAGTGAGCACAGCTGAGCTACAAGTAGTCACCACCATACTTGATGTACCTGTGGAGGCTACTAAGGGGCCAGCAGTTCAGTCGTATTATCTGTGCAACCAGGAGCATACACAGTAAAAAAACCAAAAACCCAGGTGTAATTATGCATTTGCACTTGGAGACATGCACAAGAGGGTGCCAAAGGAAATCAGTCTGCCCTTCTTGCCCACCTTGCATCCTCAGAAATGCTATAAACCTCTGCACCGTCGCACCTCCTGCTTTCACCTACTACTTGAGACAGTACTGTTCCACACTTCCCTAATCGTGTAGCTCATTCTTATAGTGCAGGTTATAGGGGAGTTTCTCCGCTGTCCAAAAAGGTTCAAGAGTTTTTGATTCAACCTTTTGCAGGTTTCACCAAAGATGTACAACATAGTCCTGACTCTGAGGGTTTGATTTTCCAGAGAGCTGCATTGCATATATGCAGACTTTCTGCCAGGAGGGCTCAGTGAAAAACACATGATTATAATAACTCACAGGTGCCATGTGGCTAAGCTAACCTATTTTGGGGTATGGGAAGTGCAGCAAGATACTGCCTAAACAAACAGCAAGCATCTTATGTTTGTGCAGGAGTTTCTTAGATCATTTAGAGGCTAGAGCAAAGACTTGAGCTAGAAAATCAGAAAAGAAAGTTCAAGCTGTGAGATGAACTTGTACAATAAATCTTCCATACTCCTGGTATTTCTTCAATATTTTAAATAATAGAGAATACTTGTGTTTGGTGTTCTTAACATTTTACATTTCAGATGTGTCCTATGTGTGAAAAACCTACCGAAGGAAACAGATATTTCTTCTGATGAAATATTCCATGTTTCATTCCCAAGGAAGGAAAACAGACATGCACACGAGAACGTCCTATGTGTCTGGTGAGTCCCTTGCAATATCAGTGTTGATCTCAGCTGATAGAAACCTTCACTGTCTTGCAAGTCATCCTGTTCAACAGAAATGTCTTGGGGAAAGAAAAGAAAAAAAGAAAAGCTGCAAGATCCTCTCATTATACTCTAAACTATAAATCAGAGCTGTGCAGAATATTGGTACTGAAAAGCAAGCCTACATGGCTGCAGGTTTCTTTTCTGAGATGCTGTCAGAGATTTGGCAAGAAGAGCGTGGTCACACCAAGCCATCGCTCCCATCACTGGCAATTTCAGGGGGCTATGGCCATGGCTGTTCACCAGCCGTTCCCATTGAGGAGGTCCGATACACTCCCCTTCACCCAGACAGACATGTACAGGAGCGGCTGAGCAACCATCGCTTTTCTTGGGAACCACTTCTACAACCATGCCATTGCCTGGTTGACAGGTTGCGTTACCTCCAGGATGCTCCGTCAGGCTCTCTCTGTCCACGTACCAGACGAGGTTTGGCTTGGGAAACACCTTCCTCACGACACAGCTCACGTTAGGCTACGGGACAGTAAAAGGCAGTCATTACCCTCCGGCATTTCTCACCCGACTGACGACTTCCAAACTCCCGTACAGACAGAGCTTTACTCACCGTCCTGCTCGGGAAGGAAGCTCTCGCTTCCTCTATTACAGTGTTTCTTTCCCCCCTATTTTTTCTGATTGCAAACACCTACATGGAGAATCACTGGAATCAGTAACGGGCACAGTGTGTGTTAGGAGAATGAGATTTTCCTGATTGCCATGTAAAATCCCTGATTGCCATGTAAATCCTTCTTTCGTTAGGCAGATAAAGAGACAAATCCCATGAAAAAGACTGCCTACACAATGATATGTTGAATATACAGAATTAGGGGGCATGATATGTAAGAGATTTCCAGAAGTCACAAGGAATTGCATGCTTTAGATACAGTAGCCCTGGTTGTACGCCAGTTGCTTCAAAAAAATCTGTGTTTATTCTCAATTTAATTTCTCATCAAGCACTAGATGGGAAAGACCTCAAAACCAAGGCTGGATGAAGGCTTGGGCACTAGCAGGATGGGAGGTCTCATCCTCATGCTGCTTGGATGTTCCCGATTACATTTACTTATCTTATGGCACTAAGAGAAATTGCCTTGGCCATTTAAGCAAAGAAAAAGAATAGCAAAATAAAAATCATATGTTACTCATGCAGCACAAAACTCTCTTGGTCCCACTTTCGAAGAAAGTGGTTCCCACGTTTAGTTGAAAGCAAGCTTGATGCATTGCAGCCAGAAGTCAATCATTCAGTATGAAGGCTGAAGCTACCCAGCTGAAACTCTTTCCTTGCCATGGTAAATAACCTCCGAACTCATAGTGTAATTGCTTTCCCTTCTTTTCTCATCATTATTCCCTTATTTTTCAGGCACTTCTAGTTCACAATATTTTTACAAATGCTTCCTATGAAGAAATACAAATCTGACATCCAAAGTAGATTTAAGCCCTGCAAGAAAGGGTGGAAAAGAGAAGGAAAGGAGTCAGTGTTTGTTTGGATGTGAAGAGTGGAGGCTCTTGGAAGTGTTTGTATTGCCTGGTCCCATGATAGCAGCACCCCTTGCTCTGCTGAACAGGAGAGTGCAGACAAAAGCCTGCGGTGTCCAACACCACACCTGGAAATAGGTCACCAGGAAAATTATACTGGTTTTGCAGAACCAGCTGACTCCTAGCTTGTCTGAAGCAGGTGGATATGGGTAATACAAGGTTCTGCCTGCCCACGAGTGCTTTTTCCAAGGAAAACTTTCTTAATTTGGGATGTTCATAGATCAAAAGCTTCCACCTGGACGGATGCACCAGGAAGCAAAGCGCCATAGCTAGTAGCCAAAGTGGCTTGCTAGTCAGTCATATGGGCCACAAATATGTTTTATGCCAAGTATGACCAGTGCAGTACAGCAAACCTTTAGGTTTTGCCATTACCAAGCAGGTGACAAAACAGAGGCCCCAAAACACACGTGTAAGCCCACAGCTCTAAATAGGACTTAGATCCAATTGCTCCATTAGCATTTGACTGCTCCAGCTCAGTTCTGCTTGCAGCATGACACGTCACGCCTGACACAGTCGTCACCTTTCCATCGACACAGTTGGCCACATCGTTGCCCTGAGCTCCACTCCCACAGCACCTGCTCCCTGCTGTCCCCAGCATCCCGGGTAGCAGGTGACCTTCAAAGAGGGATTTTAAGAAGTATGGAGAGGGCGGCTCGAGTCTGCAGAGTGGTAGCCGGCAGATGGGGAGGGAAAGGGAGCATCACAGCCCTCTGCAACACCATCAGCTCCTCACTGCTTCTCGATCCTGTCCTGGAGCCTTCCTTAGGGCTACCGCAAAACCAGGTTTTGCCCACACGACGGAGAAGCCCTTAGCTAGCTCTGGTTTGTACTCGCTGAAGCAGCTCACTAATGCAGGGATGGGAATCTCTCAGAAGAAAAGGCATGAACTGCTGGCATTAACTCATGGACTTGCTCATTGCCCTGTGAGCTCGGTCAGTTTGGAGGTCCCGCCTATGTCTGATTGAGCTTAGCTAGCCTGGCTCTGCTGCGTTGGCACGAGTCGACGATGGTGGCCACAAGCATTACTCTCTGCTCCAAAATTGCTCACCTTCTGCGAGGTGCCAGCTGAACCCTCCTGCAGGCTCACAGAGATCTGAGGGTAGGCTGGAAAGCAAACAGAAACGTATTAGTGAAATGGGTACCGAAGGTCACCGTAGCAGCTTCTAGTAAGACTTAACAGTCTTGTTTCATAAAAAGAGTGGAAACTAAATCCTACATCCACCCACATACCCAGCAAGATAAAAGCTTGCACAGCTCCGATTTGAGGTCAAGGAAGTGGTTTACAAGCATGTATCAGCAGCTACTACCACAAGATCTGTGATGTATTTCACTGCCTATCTAAACTACTCTTGGGTGGCCGTGCTGGAGAAATGAGCCGAAACCATCCTGTAGTGCAGAGCCCCTCTTCCCGAGCCTGCTGAAATAAACTACTCCCCAGTTGTTGGTTCCTCAGGGTATTTGCCAAAGTCATCTACAAAAGCTTTAGCCACCCCCAAAAACGTTGATTGATTTTGAGTACCAGCTATCCAGACGCCGTCCCCTGGGCCGACGCGTGACAGTGTCACACCACAGATGCTTCCTGCCTTGCCAGGAAGCCCAGACCTCACCTTCACATCAGAGCAGTGGCTTTCTGATGAACCCATCCAAAAGAAACACAAAAAGTGTTTTCTTTTGTTTTTTTTGTAGCATTTTGGTTCTAGGCACAGCTGACTGTATAGGTAAAAGCTATCAGGTACTGTAAGCCTCTCTAAGTTGGCATTTCTAAATTACCCATTGGGATCACTGCTTTGCAGTAATATTAAGTGACTTGTTAAGTAAGGACTGTTGAAACTGTCCTAATATATAGCAAATCTCAAAAGCCTTGGGTAAAATGTGCTTCTGGCCCTTTCTGAGCCTTAAAACTGGACTGGAAACAAGTGCAGCCCCTGGATTTCTTCAGAGATCTGTATTTCTTTCTCTTTCCAACCTAAGCCTCACTTTAATCTCTACCATTAAGATAATTTTCTTTTCTTCTTCTTTTTTCCCCTAACTCTGTTAATTGATATAGGGTCACCTCAGTTCATTACATTCCCCTCTGAGGTGAACTGCTCAAGTTTCCCTGTTGTTTTATATAGCGAATCCACCAAGGACTTTTTTTTAATTTCCATTTTTTCACCTAATATCACTGACGGATTATGCCTGGGAGTGACCTATATTTAATTATTATGGCCTTACGGTTTTCTGGACATTGGCTACTTTTTTGGGTGGAATTTCTGGTTTTGTTTTGGGTTTTTTTTGGTGGATTCTTCCTATCAGAAAATGAATGTCTTAAGATTACATCCTTGTTTCTGCCTTGCCAAAACTGCGCAGATGGTAGTGGGGCTGGCAGAAGACAACTGTACTTTTTCAGATGTAAGAAAAAAATCCTGTAAACTGAATCTCCTAATCTCAGCTAAATGTTGACTGGGAGACTGAATAACATCTAGTCTAGTGCCTGCTCTTCCTTTTGTTTTTTTGATGGGAACAGGTATGCTTTTCCACATCCGTATTGGATGCTGTCCTCTGCTTTCTCAGAAGATGTGTTTGCGGGGTAACGGTTCTGGCAGGCAGCTCTCAAGCAGGGCTCTGAATGATCCAATGGATCTTTTCCATTTAACATCTCAGCCCCCGTTAACAGTTTGACATTCATTTGTCTTGCTAGGATATTTACCAATGTTTTGGGTCTAGCAGAAATTCAATATTTAGTACAGTAGTTTCTGCTGCTGAGCTTTTACTCTTACAAAAAGGAGAAATCAATATTTGGCAAAGTTAGATGCAAAAAGACCATACATTTTCTCAGAAAGCTGTATCTGAAAGAACTCTGTTCTAGAAAAGAAATATTTTAAAGCATTTCAGTCAAAAAGTACCCTCTTAAAAAAAAGCTCTGTAGATCAAAAGTCTGTTTTAACTCAATCTATCAAGACTCTCATCTTCATTGAGAGACTTGACTGTTCCTTCCCCATCCTCTCCTGCCCAACTCTCAGACAGACTTAGGCCACCTCAAGCATCTGTGGGGAAGCATCGCTGCCGTCCCTCGGACTGGGGCTGTCTCTGCTGTGTTTAGCCCTGAAACCTTTGTCAGAGGGATCCTATACCAGGAGCTTTCCCCAGGCGACAGTACCTTCCTCTCCTCCTCCTCCTCCTCCTGCCCATGACAGCACTGTGATGCACTAGCTTTAGCTCTTAGGCTATCAGATACACAAACTGAGGTGAGAGCATCAGCAGGGACGGAGGGGAGGGAGAGGTCAAGTATGTTCGTATACTTCAACTATTGCCCAGGCAGCACTGCAGCTGTTTGACAAATGTTCATTTTTAAAAGTAAGACCCATGTCTGAATCATGCAAACACAACAGGAAATGTCAGGTCATTAACTTCTATTTTTATTTCTCTTGCATCAGTGAACAACTGACACAGGTTTTGCCTTTTTTTTTTTTTTCTTATTGCTGCTCCCTGTTGAATCTTTCTTTGCATTCAGATCATCAGCCTCGCATGGCCGTGACATCCTCGAGCCACAGGCTTCCTCGGGCAAGCAGCTACAGTTGGCAGACCCGTTGGGTAACACTCACTCATTTTGGGAGCATTAGAAATGTTTTCTAGACCCACTGCTCTATAAGCAGAAAATACAGCCTGATTTTCAGAATAATTTTTCTGATTCGATTGTACCTCAGGGGTTGTAGAGTCGCTCCTAAGCCACTACAAAGGGAACAGAGCAAGTAAAGATGGGGAAGGCTTCCAGCACAAAATGACAGCCCACACGTTTGCGGTACACAGGCCCTGCCACTCCTGACCAGTCTGAGACCCCCAGGTAAGACCTCGTTTTCAGAAGCAGAGCCTTTGGCAGCAGTTGAACATTGCATGCCTTCAAAGATGTGACTTTGGAACAATGATAGTTCCAGACTCCTCTAGCTGCTCACTAAATGTTGGCCATGATTTCCTAACCACAGGCAGCATGGTCATTCTGTAAGCAGGGCACGGAGATCCTGCTGACCCAGGTGCTTACCTGTAACCCGCGACGTAAGCTTACACATCGGGGTTAGATAGTGGCAACCTGCATGCCCGTGGTGTTGATATATGACAACAACGGATCTGCTGGTTTTGGTGCTAGAAATTGAAGGAATGGGCTCAAATTCTTCCTGAGAACTATGGGGTTGTTTACTAACGTTTTAACTCATTGCAGCTGAAAAAAATACAATGTAAATATGTATGTATAAACAAACCCAGTGTTTTTCAAAAGCTATTGCCTTCAGAACCAGACAGGAGAGTTACCTTTGCCAGTGCATGTAGGTGGGCAGTTGGCGTGAGCCCCTTACCGAATACTCTCACGGTGGTGCTGCTCTTCTGGACTCTCTCCGGGTGGAACATCACATGGCAGGAAAACACCCTGCCATCATCCCTGATTTTGGTGGGGAAAATCTTTAGAGTGTTATTCAAGCCCAGGCGGACTCTTTGCCCGTACAGAGTGCTGCCGTTGCTGTACACTGCAGGGCAGCAGGGATCCTTGGTCACAAGTTGCTCTCTCCTGCCATTTTCTCCCTGTGAAAAAAGCAACCCACACAACGTGTGAAGATCAGACCCCCCCCCCCCCACACCAACAAATATTTTTGTAGACCAGCTCTATTTCCACTATAAAAATCTTCCCTCGCACCCCTAGCATTGCGTAGTAGTAAACGAGTGTTTGCAACATCTATTTTTTTCCATATACGTTCTCGCCCAGAACTTCAAAACCAATAGCGGTCATCACTTTACCAATAAATTATGGAGTAAATAGCTGTGTCTTGGGTGTCCTGATCTCTGTAGCCTGCAGAGAGGGCAACAGAGCTACTTTCTCACCACAGCAATCTTGAAGTTATGCTGAACATGCCATACATATTAAATACAACTGAAATTCCAAGAAAATCCTTGCTCTTTTAGATTTTAAATGGCGAGAACCTGATAATAATAGCTAAAAGTCATCTCTTAATGCCTGTGTGCCAACCACCCTTAGCTATAGGTGCAGCCGGCACATCCCAGACATCCACGCCTCGGTACATGTGTAAGTATGTACAAGCTATAGTCTGAATGATGCATGGTGACCCACATATGTCATTGTGCTGACTTTTGGGCTTTATTTTTTTTCCCTTCCTCTGCTACTTTGTAGAGTGAACTAGCAACATTAAAAAGTAGTGAGGACAAGGACAGTCCCTACAAAAATTTTAAGAATTTTAATATTAAGAAAGTACTGCAAAGGGGAGATCTAAATAGACAAAAAGCTGGGACAAAAGACTAAAAAAATCTAAAGTACTTGAAAATCACCTTTAAGAAAACCCTGAACAGTTGCAGGTCCTCGGTGACAATAGGTAGAAATTAACAGGCACAGCTCAAGGACACTGCTGGTTGATACTTATCTCTACATACTGAAATTAATGCAAAAAGGTTACATTAAAACATGCGTATAAATATTTATCCAGAAAGTGAGATGCGGTACAAAAATATAACGAGCTTCACATCTCACAGCAAATTGCTTAAAAGCAGTTTTTATGTGGTTAGCTAGATAACTGGGTTTGCATGTCTTCGGCATGCATCTGACACAGAGGTTAACAAAACCAAAAACATTACAGTCAGCCCCCCCGCTTTTTTTTTTTTCATTCCTGTTTCAAAGCAGCCTGATATCTCACCACCTGACACAGTAACCATGTATTTTTCAGAGATACTAAAGCTTCACTGCGGCAAAAACCCCTGAGAAATCCAACGCAAGGACTATTTTAGTTCTGTTACATTTGCTAAGTTTTCACTTTCCACAGACGTGCCCTATGTGTACTGCTGAAAAGTTAAAAGCAATTAAGATGCAGTTTTCCCTCTTTATTTCTTTAACAGCCATTGCTTGTGGTGTCTACATTGCAAAATGAAGTTTATACTTTTTATTATCGCAGTCCAATGCTACCGGTACCTCTTGTTTAGCGGATTCTGCAGGACACCGTGAAGTCTAACATTTCTGTTTCAATCTGCAAATATACCCTGTAGTTCCTTCTGAACTGTATACCTGAGATGAAAAATACTTACCACTAGCCATTTCAAAGGATAATTGGACAAATTTTCTGAGGTCGTGTCCTGAAGGCATGGAATTTCTAAAGTCTGGTTTAACTGCACTTCCTTCACGTAGTGCTGCTCCTCTTTTATCATTGCAACAACAACAACAAAAAAGCCCAAGAAGGAAAATCAGAAACATGATGTTCACCATGCTTTAAAAACCAATGCTGATTAGTCTTCTGTTCAAGGAAGAGGCACTTTTTTAATTAGAAAGGAACTAGAATTTCCAACCGTTACTCATACGCACATTTGTTAAGTGAAAGCCCTGCATCCGATTCTAGCTGCAGTTTCATGACTCTAATTCATGGCTTTACCTGAATTTTTTGGCAATTCATAAAAACCTTCGCTTAACTGCAGGATCAAGATGTCTCCTGTTGGAGCTAAGAATAATTTGAAGCTTCATTTTTTTCTCTTACAATTTTTTTTTCTGCGGCAATAAACCTTCACATCAATTTTGTGCACCTGTATTTTGTTTCCTCTGAAGATATCCACAGACCTTCTTTTCACCAAGCAAGGTGTTCAGCATGTCAGGCACGTTAAGATTAACCCCATTTTTCAGCATAAACACTCCTTTTGTTATTCTCCAACCTGCCCACTACCAGAAGCAGCGAACTTGTCACTCTTAAGTTTTAAAGAAGCATTTCAGCATCTCCCACCCTACCCTTTCCCAGTCCGGGGCTCCAGCCCACCTGTGGAAGGGCAGAGCGCTGGACCAAAGAGAGCACAGCTGTAGGACAAACACTGGGTCTGCGTGTGCCTGTGTGCGTTTAAACAGGAAAAGCAGCGGTGATGGCCAAGAGATGCTACGAGTGCCTTGGGGAGCACTGATGTCTCTGACCCTCAGCCCAGTGGTATCGCCGGGCAGTTTGCCATGCCGTGCCAGCCTGCCTAGACCTGCCTTCCCTCCGCCCTTTACGTGGGCACCGGCACACACCGTGGGGAAACCCTTCAACTTTGCTCCCCTGGTACCTCTGCCTTGCATGTTGAGATAGAACATATCTATATCTATATCTATATCTATATATTTAATTTTGAGGGCAGAGAGAATATCTAGCAGTCCCAGACTGTTACGTTATTTGGCTGTGTGGACTTTCTGGTGATCGTAACCTCCTTTCTGTCTGGCACCCGAGCACGGGGTGACAGTGCCAGCAGGCAGCCTGTGCCACAGAGACACGGAGACGGGCAGTGCCTGGTGGTGCCTGAGATACCCGACGGCAGAGGCAGCTTGTCTCCGCTCTCTATCAGAGCAAAGCCAGCGCTGCGGGACACAGGGTGCATAAGCCCTAAAGGGGCTGGGTAGTGTGGGAAGGATAAAGAAAAGGCAAAGGAAGAAAATCTATAGCTTCCCCAGGAAGAAAACTGCACAGGAGACTTTACTGGGACAAGCTCCCATGCCAAAGTGCCATGTAGCGTATATGAAGTACAAAGATGAGGAGTTGCCCCAGGAGTTCAGTTTGCAAAGAGCCTCTGCCTGTCCTCACAGCCACGTGTCCCAGCTGCTTATTTTCCCCCCTTTCTTTGATTCCCAGCTCCATTAATAACCTGTTGGCTAAAGTCCTCCATGTTTGCCAGTCCTACGTAAGCCTGCTGCTCTGTGGGTTTTTTGTGGTATCTTCAAATTGAATTCATCTGAATTCACTTCACTTTGATGTAGTTGGGAGCTGTACCTCCCTAATGACTGGCACCCCTCTCCATCCAACTCATAGGCTGGATTAAGGTCTTTTTGCCTTCTTTTGAGTGGAAGTGGTTAATTGCAAAAGATCTGATGAATATAGAAATCTGCAAGAGGTATGTTGCAAACTGAATTTTGTAGTTCTCTCTAGCAAGCAGTTATCAATAGCGCAGCTTGCTACATCATGCAGTTACCGAAAAACACCACTATGATGCCGAGAGGAACAAGAACCACCCACGTTTAACACGTAGACAGCAATAGTGGCATTGAACATGCCAGGATCAACCAAGGGCACCGGCAAGACAGAAGAAGCAATGCCTGGTTAGCACTATTACTGTATTAAGGAAGAGACAGAGAAAAAACGTGTGAAGAACAGAAGCACGGGAAGGTTTCACACTGTTACCAGCGCTGTTTGTACCTGACTGCTCTCCATTTGATCCAGCCCCTCTGCCCTGTGAAGCCCAGGAAAATCCCCAAAGGGGAGCAGACCGCAGCCCACCCATGTACAGCGGGTAAAGTGACAGGGTAAAAAAGATGGGTTGTGCAGAGATGCCAGCTCTAATTTTGCCTTTGTAAGTTCATCAGGGCAGGAGGGTGCTGCTGGGTTACCCCTGAGGTGTGCCTCGGGGATGAAAGCACCAAAATGCTTGGAGCCATTGGCATACAGGGGCCATCAGGGAGCAAGGAAGCAGCTTGGGGGCTTGCAGAGGACCTCCTCCTGCTGCAGGAGCTGTGTGATCCAGCATGGGTCCCTCCTGCCACCAGCCTGGCCACACAAGGCAGGCCAAAGGGGCAGTGGGAGCATTTCTGCCCTCTGCTACCCCCAACATCACCCGCCCCCACCCTGCTCCTAACCCTTCCACCTCTGCTGCAGCTACGACCCTCGGCACGAGCAGGGCGAGAGAGTTGGCCTTGCAGCTCTGAGCTGAAACTGTGCCAGGTTTGTTGCATTTACTTTAATCCTTCTTGGCTTGTTAACAGAAACAGGGTCAGGGAGAGGTTTCTGGGGTCATCAAATCCAATCCCCCACGTGCACGACAAGAAGCTTGCCCAACATCCCTGCCCAGCTCCATCTTCACGGCGGTTTGGACTTTTGCCCTCACTGCTGGCATTAAACAGCTGTTCCCAAAGTTTCTGCACTAACGGTCGCCACTGCTGTTTAATTTGTAGTCAGATCCACTCACGTCCTATTTAAACTCATTTGTTCCTTTGCTATGATAATTTAAATATCCTCCCTGGAGTTCACACTCTCCCCTGAGGCTTCCTTACCAAGCCATGCTGCTTTTGGCTGACAGAAGCAGCCAAGTCTCTGTTTCTGCAATTGTCCTAAGCAATCCCACTCTTTGCTCCAGTTTGTTTTTGGTGGTGGGGACACACATCCCTCCATTGCGCTAACACCCAGCACACCCTGCAGATGCCAGCCCTCAGCCCCAACCACACAAGGGTGTTCTCTCTTTCTGGTACCAGCAGCACAGCATGGTTTGGAGATCCAGCATCAGTTGCAAACCCCAAACAAGTCACCATCGCCGACCAAGAGATGTTCATCTATCCCCTTATTCCCCCCCTACCCCCTGCACTCCTGTTACGAAAAAACAACCTCTCATTTGTAATCACTTACCTTCTGCCTTGACAATAAGTTGGATTTTTGCAGCCTTTGTCCCATATGGGTAAGTAGCAAAACTGCACTCGTACTGCCCGCTAAGGGAGACGGTAACGTTTTTCAGATGCAGAGCCAACCGACTGCATTCAGATGTGGTGTTCGGATCAGGGGAACACAAAGCCTCCGGAACATCCCAGCTGCAGCACTTTCTTGTGCTGAAGGACACCGAAAAGTTGTAAGAAGCTTCAGGAAAGGTGAAGTAATGGGTGCCAAAAACGGGGTGATAAACAGCTATTCTGGTGAGCTGGGTGTCATCAGTCTTGGACCACTGTGTCTGTATTATGTAGGTGGTGGGTGGTTTTGGGAAGCTGCACGCCAGGGTCACGTCAGTACCTGGCAAAGCATGGACCACTTCTCTTTGTGTAATGACGTCTTCAGGTTGGCCTTAAAAACAAACGGGACCATTTTCAGTGCAAGGAATGTTTAAATAAAGCTTTTTCCTAAGCCATCTTTGATGTGATTTGGTGCCTTAGCCACAGACAACTATGAAGACCCTACAACGGTAACAACAGCTAGGAGCTTTACAGCAGGTCTCCACCAGTACAGACTGCGGAGAGAGAACTGGGAGAGCAAATGCACACTTGTCTGGAAGAGGGCGAGGAGCTCCCGTCGTGCTCACGGGAGAGAAATGGGAGCTCGGAGGGCCTCTGTGCAAATGGAAAGCTTTCAAGTGATATAAATAAAGCAGAAGCTAGGCCCAGTTATTCCCCAGCAATTTTTGCAAGAACAAATGAGTTATCCCCGCTGGCTAACTCTGCCCTGCACTGTTCCCCCTGCCCGTTGCCATTGCCTTCGCTGCTTCGACAGAGAGAGCTGTTCTTTTACCTCCATGTTATTAAACAGCTCCTGCGTGGCCTAAACGAGCGCCCATTTCAGTGTCACCGCGATCTGCCCCGGTATGTATGGTTTCTTCCTCAATTAATTTCCTAAAGCATGTTGGCAGTCCTTAGTGTGCCATATAAAGGAGTAATGGGTCAGTGAAATGAAGGGGCTTTCAACAGGAGTCTCTACTACTTGGTTTTGCTGCTGCTGTAGTAAAATTGATTTCTTTCTCCTTCTCCCTGCTATGAACAAGAGGCTCCAAACCCCTATAAGCAGGACACTGACAAACTCAAGGAGATGAAGAATTTACAGATGGGGGAGTCCAATACACCCACAGAGCCATACGCAAAAAAGGTACTTTTTCAAAGTCGCATGCAGGTCCCTAGAAAAAGTGAGGTTGTGCAGATATTCCTAGGTATGGACTTGTCACCCCCCATCTCCATTGGATTGTATCCTCCCTGCGTATCAAAACATCACTCTAAATTTGCTTTGGGAACTCACCCCATAGACCCCCCAGCCATAACTCTACCTCCCCATGGCAGCAAGCGCACGCTGCTCACCTTCTTGAAAAAAGCAGGTGCCAATTTCTTTGCTTTGACATCTACTCTGCCAGGTGGTACAGGGCTGCGGGCTGCCTGAGCCGAGGGATGCCCTGCCAGGGACCACGCAACCTCGCCAGTGCGCCCCATGCTCTGCCAGACCAGCCGAGAACGAGACAGGGACCCGGCGTACCCACAGCTACAGTTTGGCAGGGAAGAAGAAGAAAGGCAGAGCCCCACATCCCCACAGAGCTGGCTGAGATGCGCTACCTAACTGCTGAAGTGTGACATGAACACATAGAGATTACGTGCACGGAGAACAAAGCTACTGAATGGCCATGGCTGGCATTAATCTCCATTTTTCATTGCTATGCATGCTCTGTTCATCTTTTAATTGACTTCCAAGAGTTGGGATGACACAAGAGGGTAAATAGAAATAAGCTTGAGTGACAAGTGCTATGAGAAAAATTACTGAAAACTATTTTTGTCAGTCCAAGGAGCTTGTTACAGCAAATGCTCACTGATTTCACTGCAAGTTTTGCATCAGTCAAAGTGAAGGAAAAAGCGATTAACAATCTTGCGATCAGACTAGCAGGCAAGAGACACCTTGCAAGTTCTCTCTTGTATTCATCCTGATGCTGTATTAGGTCAAAGGATCATGTAAAGAATGCCTACTAAGAATTAATTGAATATTTTATATTAAGATGAAAAATTTACGTATGTAGAAACAACATTTTAATTTGTGTTGTTTGTTAGCCTAGCACTTTAGGTTATTTTAACAGAAACCCTTCCATACAAAACTGTTCTTAACTTTTCGTTAGCATCTCAATATAATCGGTCTCATTTTATGCCAACTTTATTTTTCCAAATCAAATGCTGTCCGTTAACCCATACTTGTGCTGCATTTGAAATTTAATAGAGTAACTCTCAGATATTTAGATGTCTGATCTCTGCAAAGGGCATGGTGGTGTCCACTTTCACCTGTGAGTGACTTCAGTGAGGATTTCATCCTCAGGGGAAAAAAAAAAAAAAACAAACCACAAACAACCAACCTCAACAGTCCTGTTTTTCCCTAAATAATACTGCTTTCCTGCATGTGCATGTCTTGAGGCTTCTAGTCCTTTCTTTGCATTTGCGAACTTTTATTTTCTGTGAATACACATATGAAATATTTTCCTTTCTTTTAAAACCTCGTTTGCCTCCGTAATGTAGAAAATAGGAATGGCCTGTGCCACCTTTTGAGATGCATCTTACCATGCCAGTCAAATACATAAACTTTTTCCTTTCTTAACTGGAAAAACACATGTCCTACAAAATTCTCCTTCTTAGCTGGTAATAAGTACTCCTGCGTTCAGCACGATCAGCCTGTTGGGGGGGTGGGGGGGGTTGTGAGCATCGGGCTTTTTCTTGGTTTTCCTCAGATCATTTTTAGTTTAAACTCCCTCTGATGGGGATGCAGTTCTCCTTACTCCATTTTTCTGAAAGTTTTACTCCCAGTAACAAACTTGTTTCTTAACCCTTTGACACAGCAGGCAGGGCTGGGTGGGCAAGAGGAAAGGAAGAATCTATTTAAGGGCTTGCAGCTGTACAATTTATCCCTGCCTTTAAGCGTTTCAACTCTTCCTCTGTCTGCATTCACACACACACCTGTGTGAGACAAAGATTTATTTTTTTTTATTTGCTCTTTGAAAGCAGTTTTTCCTTTTTGTCTGTCGGAGACAAGCACATGTCACCCAAAATACAAGTGAGGTCATCTCACTGTTTATTCTGGTGAAAACAGGTTAGGCGTTTTGACTAAACTAACCTGCTAGTCAGCACACGCCGTTCACTCTTTACTAGCTGCACATTATAACCAGGGTTATTAGAAAGTTGTCAGGAAACAGAAAATCATCCCCAGTAGTTCCAGCTTAGCGCAGTGAGACTCACTAAGCCCAGCCTACACGTGCCACCCTGCCCCTCGCCACCCTCCATCACAAGCCGAGTCAAGGCGTCCCGCTGACATGCTTACCTGCCACGCTGGGCACCGAGAGCAAACAAAAGAGGCAGAAAAGCCACCTTTTTTCCATCTTCATTTGCCGAAGTTTTGGTAAATACGTAGCTCTCTTGGCCTGCTCCTGGCAGCGTCTCGGCAAAGGAAGTGGAAGCGGTCCGCCTTGGGCAGGCAGGCAGATGTGCATCACGGCCACGCTCATCGTTTTTGCATGACTTCAAAGAAATGCTTCATTAAATGTGAAAGCCTCAGTTTCCTGCCAGAGCAATAAAATTAGTACATTTTGTGAAACCTTGATGTTGCAAACACTACCTATGCCATAAGCCTATGTTGAAGACCTTTTGGTTTTTTCTTTGTCTTTTCAGATAAACTCAGAGTAAGCAGTTTACTGGTTTACACTCTCAAAAACATTGTCAAGTGTCTAAGTTTGAATATATGGTACATATTGTACAAAAAAGCTAACTTTCCCCCCTTCTGCTCCGTTTCCTTCACGTTAGTCTAAAATAGCTCAAATATGGTATTTCCAGACTCTCTACACTCACCACCTCTTAAAAAAAAAAAAAAAAAAAACCAAAAAAACAGAAACCCAAACCAGCAAAATAACAAAACCAATCCCTTTAAATTAAAAGATTGAATTGAGAGTTTTTCAGATTCACTTTTTTTTTCCCTTGACAAGGAGACCCGTAATTATTTTCTGCAGGATGAAGAATTACAGCATCACATGTGACAACCTCCATTGGTGTGGTTAACCCCCGTACCTCACTCCGTTCAGCTGGCAGCTTCAGTGGTGGCAGTCCCCTCAGGCAGAAGCATGTGGTTCCTGCCAGTCCTATGACCTGTCTTTATTGCAGGTCACCTCTAAATCCTCCCGAACTATCCCCAAAGCACACTGCATTTCCATGAGCTAGGCATACACCTGCCAGCAAAGCATCTCATTTCAGGCAAGTCTCATGCAAATTGGACCTGCTCTTGGCAGCTTTTCAGAAAGAAATAGATTTGAGTTCTCGCTCATCACACTTGTTTCCTCAAAACCAAAAAAGCGAGGCAGGACACCTCACGTACACAATGGCAAAGCCTATGGAAACTGCCAGTCATCACCTGCAATTTTCTTCCTGACTGTTTTCTGTTTCCTCCCCGACTGTCTACCTTTGCTGGGCATCGAGCTCCCCATAGCTCCAGCACACAAGGCACAGAGTTCAAGGTTAAAAAGAAAGACCTCTCTGGTCATTTCCCTATTTTATGCACTAGCAGACGCAAACAACATCTATACCACTTCTCTAATTTGTGCATCTGCACCCTTTTGATAGCATGTTTAAGCAGGCTGAGGTTTCCAGCTGGAACAGCTATCAGTGCTGGCCAGGCTACGGTCAGGCCTCCAGACACGTCTTGGAGGGGAAATGTTGCTGCACGGGTCCTTTTTGGTTTGCATTGCTCTCTGACCTGAGGAAACGCACTAAAAGCAGCACAAAATGCACTGGATGCCCGAATTACTGCTAAGGGAATTCTATCTGGGGGAATGAAATCTCTGCTTGTCACTCGGGGCCGGGCAGAGAAAGATCTGTCTTGGAGGATCAAGAAGTCCTAAAGTTGAGGATGAGCAGAATATTCAAGCCATTGTAATTGACAGCCACAGAAAGGAGTAAAAATATTAAAGATATATACTCTGGTTTCCAGTTCAGAGCAGAGATCGCAAAGAACCCAAAGATTATCTGCAGATACTAGAGTTTGAGAGAACTGGACTTTAGAATTTGGGCTTTCATTAATAAGCATGGTTACCTTAGCTTCTCCTGCTGATCAGTTCATGCAAGCTTTGTACCATGAGAGAATGTATTTTGTGTAACATGGGGGGCAAAAAAGTCTCAAATGACCCTTTTCATTGATCAGAAACATACAATTTGACAAGACAGCCCAAGTACTGTGTGGTGTATCAATAGCCACAGAAGTCCCCGAGCAGCTTGTCCGAGTTACTAGATGTCTTGCCCTTAGAATTTGGTGTGTCCCCCCCAACCCTAAAATAACATCATAAAGATACACTGCTGCCACGTTGTGTTGTGTTGGCTGAATGCAGCCACCCAGCACCGTTGCTGTGCTTAGCGATGGAAGACAGACAAGGAAGAAACCTCCCAGCTCGATGCATTTTTATTCGCTTCAGAGCTGTATTTTGCCCCAATTCATACCTTAAGTCCAAAGTCTGAAATAGTCATTCACCCCACTGCTGACGTGGATGCGCGTGAACAGCTAAGCCCTGCGTATGACATCAAAACCCACTTCTGAGACACGCCACTTATCTCAGCCTCCTGGCAAGGATCTGCCTTTTCCCTGGAGCTGGACATGAGGTCTCGCTCACAGCAACACAAATTATTATGAGAGGTTCCTCCCCCTCCACCCTTTTCCTCAAAAGTTACTCACGGGCAGCTTGGTAGGTGCCACGGTGGGATGTTACGCACCAGGTTACGGATGGTGCGGAGGAGAGGAGGTACTGAAACATGCCCAGGGGCACCGGACCTCATTGGTAGCTGGAGGGAGGACATATCCGTAATCGGCTTTTCCTTGGTGGGACGGCTGCAAGGATGTTTGTCTCAGAGGTGGGATGCGCAGGTTTTTCCATCACGCTACACCTGCTTTTCCGGAGAGACGCAGAGAAACCGCCGCAAGGCTGGGAGGTTTTAAAGGAAAAGAAGCTATGCCCAGGCAAGTGACACATGTTATTGAGGGATATGTGAACCACAGCCTTTTCTTTTGGGTTGGACAAGCAGTTGGCCTGGCTAGTCCTCCCCTGCGTCCCAGGTGGTGCCAATGCTGGCAGGAACCGATGGGCCCTGAGCATCGCCCAGGATGCGGCCCCGACAGTGCACCGCAGCGCGGGGCTCTGCCCGCTCCTCAGGGACATCTCGGCAGCCTCACCTGATGTTCAGGTTTTGTCCCCTTGGGTGGGAGTGGGGGGTGGCAGTAGGGGATCCTCTAATTATTTTCTGCAGATCCGTTCACCAACAGAGGAGGCATTTCGAACGCCACAAATGACTCTTTCCGTGGCAATTGCCTCTATTGTGCATCATGCTTACAAAACCCTCGACCGCAATACAATTCTTCTGCCTCTATTACAGTAAGCCGCACCTAAGGAAGAGGCAGAGCTGCAGTCAGTCCCACAGAAAAAGAAATCTTGAACTCCAGAGACAAATTCAATTATTCACAAAGAGAGCCTTTTCAGAAATGCTAGTGCGCGAGCTCTTCCTGCCAGAGGCGAGGATGGTTACCCTTGCAGCCCGGTGTCCTCTAAACATTGCTTAAAGAAAACGCTGCTCCCCAGTGAAAAAGAGACGGAGACTTTGAAGCAGGAATTTCATTAAAGAGTAAACTAACCTTTCAGGTTCACTTGGCACAGAAACTCACACTTCGTCATTGTATTTTGGTTTCAAACTTCTTTGAAAACCATAGTAATGACTCCGTAGCTGGCAGACAACTGTGGCCAGGGCAACCCACGGAGGGGTGGGCGAGTGGGTGGTAGGGGCCAGGAGAGCAGCACGGCAGGGGAGAGGGCACTGAGATCCCCACGGGGCTTCTTCAGCAACCACCTTCTTCCTCCGTCTCCCCACCCTTAGCTCTCGTGCCGCTCTTCTGATTGCAGCACTGCCTCTTCTGCCTGGGGAAGGAGGGAGTAAGGGCTTTCTCAGTTGGCTTCCTCCTCCTCCTCCTCCTTCAGGGCCACACGCATATGTCCACACGCTGTTTGACATAATGTCGCCTCGGTTTCAGCCGGGGTGTTTAAGCAGCATGGCAAGGCGTACATGCTTCCCTCTCAACAGCAATTTTTCCAGGTGAAAGATGTTTAAGAGATGTGAATGGACTTTTCATCCCTACTCCCTCACTGACAGCTTGGAATACGGGAGAAAACCAAGAACAGCTCGGCCTCGGCCGTGTCCCTGCTCTGGCCGGCCTGCCTCGGCACGAGGGCTGCTCCATCGCCTTCCCCAGCTCCACTGCCGACGCTAGCAGAATTCAAGACTGCCCTTTCTACAAACGTTTCATTTGCCATTACGTCCTACAGATATTTTCAGGCCAATTGCAACTGAACGATGGCTCTTTAATTGTGCCATTTGCTCATCCCACTGGTAAATATTGCTTGCTTCGCTTTGTAGGCAGGGAATTGGCTTTTGAGTAGCCTCACCCGAGACTAGAAGTCAAAATGAATGTATAGACAAGGACTATAGCCCTTAAATCCTCTCTTGTTGATGTCGGTGGAAAAAAAATCTCTTCGTGACCACTCCGTCTTTACAAAACCTTTCAGATAAAGCAACAGGGCGTATTTTGGGGAAGGCAGAGGATCACAGGGAGGGATCTGGTGCAGAATTCCTCTGCGTGCATACCTCTGACTCTCCGTTTCTGCGATAAAGAAAGGGACTGCAAAAACTGGCAGTAGTTTTTCTAATTAGAAGGCTTAACTTACAGTTCAGGTTTCAGAGAAAGGGAGCATACATTTGGGGATAAATGGAAGAGAATCGGCTCCCTCACCTTCTCTGCCATTCCAGCCACAGCTCCCTGTGGTCCTCTGCTCCCGTTTAATGCCACTTCTGATCAATGATGGTCCATCAGGGTAAGCTGTTGAACATTACATTGTGCAAAGTGCAAGTTACTGGAAAAAGCAGAGTATAAAAAGTGCAACCAATGAACAAAACAAATATAAAGCACAGTGACCCAACAACACACACTAATGAAAAACCACTGTGTGAAATCCAGCCAGACATTTCCAAAAAAATTAAAGACTCTACGGAGTCATTTTTCAAAATTAAATGGAAGGCACAGGTAAGACCAGCCCTACTTTCTTTGCTTGCTTTCTCTTTTCCAGCTACGGCACAACCTGTGCTTTCGCCCCGTTTTGCACAACATCAGCTAAAAGCTTTTCACGTGCACACCTCATCTTCCACGTTTTCTAAGAAAATGTTTCTAAGTAGGTTAATAACCATGTGACAAAACGTAATGGCACCACAGCTTTAACAAAAGGCATTTGTAAGGAAAGGGTAACCCACTGCCAGTGCTGGGAAACATCTGCTCACGTTAGACTGCAAGGTTGAGGTTTCCACTGAAGCTTCCCAGAAGGGCCGTGTCACCCCTGGTCACTTTAGCAGGAGCTTCAGAGACAACGCTTGGAGCAGCTTTCATGAATGACACCAGCAAAAGAGAACAGGAGTCTGCTTGGGAAAGGGC